CAGGGTATAACATACTTCGCTTACCCTTGATCTGTGGTTACGCTAAATTGCAGTGAAGGTTACTATGAAAACTCGATGTTTTTTATAAGTTCAATCGGCTAATTGTTGTATTGTTAATTAACCCCTTGAAGAAATATTGGTATGTAAATCTGCTTGTAAAGAATTTTTTTCTCTTACGTAAATAATAATTAGGTGCACTATCGTTTTGTATCTAATAATTATTAGAAATATCTATTATGTTTATTTTTTCTTAATTGCATGAAATGATATGTTATAGAACAGTAGACTAATATAAATAACGACTGATAAAAAGTTTAAAGAAAAAATGTTAGGAATCAGTCATTAAAGAATCGTTAAGGTTGGCCGGATCAATTACAAGCCATTCGTTACTTAGATGAATGAAGTGTGAGGTATCGTTGGATCCTTTATAAAGTGTATAACGTGGTGACGTTAACAGTTAGGGCGTAGGTATGAAATCTTCGAAGCTACGACAGTTCGAGCAGGAGGAAGTTCGGAGACCGGTCACCCGGAAATTTATGACCGATATTCCGGAACTGAATGTGATATATTACTGCCCATCTAGTGGCGAGTACTTTACAAAATTTTTGAGGTCATAGGACCATGAATTTTGGAATTTTAGTGACTTCTTTCCCATTAGTAAGCGGTATTCGCAGGGCTCCGTCGGGCCTAATTTTGTTGATATCTATAATTTGAAAACACCATCGTAAACACAAGTCTGTCAGCATTGATGTGTATAAATTAGGTTAACTTCCTCCGAATAGTTATACTTGTAGAACGATTGGAAAGTCTAAAGTGATTCTTCACTGAGAAAATGTTGAAACTTTTGGCGGTCGTCGCCATAGAAACGGCTCGGTTACCATAGTAACCAAACCCTCATTTTCCGCGAGCGGTAATTTCAAGGTCTCCCACTTGAAACTGAAATAATGGAGGAGCTTAGCACTTGAACAGATATCCTCAGACCTGCTAAAAGAATTGATCACCTGACTAATTTTCTCACCAAAAAAGGTATAAATACCCGACACCTTCCCCTCATGGGGGGAATCGCCGAACGTCGAAGTCAGACATCGCGTTATCCATCGCAGCCGTACACTTTCGTCGCCGACCTATACTTGTGTTACTGCTCAGAATCCATAAAGGACGACATTGCGGGAAAATATCCCACTAGTATATGCAAAGAGGTATGAACGCTTATTATTGTAAACTCTCTCTCTCATCCGCGAAGTGTAAGAAGTTTGTAAGATTTTATTTAGTTAGTTAGGTTAATAAACTCTTGTTTTGTTTTTTAAATGGTGTCGTTACTCGACTTTGCCAAAGTCTTATCGTCGACCCCTCCGACTCTCCTCCACAGGCGTAACGAGTAACCGAACGTTATTGCCATCCCTGACAAGAAAGTAGGTCACTGACCTGTGGCCAGAAGGAGAGGACTCCTGTTACCTCCTGGTGGCTCATATATATATAATACAGTATGAGTAACATCAAGATAGAATAACAATCTGAATAGTAAAGCGAGGCGTTATATTTATAAATTAATTTTCTAGTGTGTAAAGTACTTTTTAATAGAAGTTTCTAAATGTTATTACATTTATAGACTTTTGTGATGCATAGAATTTATATAATGTGTATTATATAATGTGAAAGAATTAAGTAAATATATGTCTTTCTATATGTAAGATATTGTACAGGTTTCTAGTGTGTAAAGTACTTTTTAATAGAAGTTTCTAAATGTTATTACATTTATAGACTTTTGTGATGCATAGAATTTATATAATGTGTATTATATAATGTGAAAGAATTAAGTAAATATATGTCTTTCTATATGTAAGATATTGTACAGGTATTCCTGTTTCCAACGAAATAGATAAGTCAACAAATTGTAAATATTTATTATAAAACTTATAAATATAAAATAGTTCCACACGAAGTATTATATTGATCACTAAGTGCTTTTGCCTTTATCACTGTATAGCGGGGGTCGGCAACCTGCGGCTCGCGAGCCACATGTGGCTGTTTGGATGTGAAGCTGCGACTCTTTAGTTCCATACGCAAATATTATTTATTTTATTAAAAGAAAAAATATGAAAAAATCGTTTTGAATCGAATAACGAGGATTAGGCACTGATTCTATCTGTCAGCCACTTGTACTCGCTTGTCACTGCACCAGTCCCCTGTGACACGTATCGTCATTGTCGTCAGTCCGTCGGAAGCTCTCGAATGACGTCGTCGTCGGATGTTTCTATTATCTAATTTGTTGTGAAAAACACTACTTATATATGAATAAATAGACATTTATTCTTATGAATAAATAGATTAGTTTTTTTTTGTATTAAAAAACTTTATTTATGCGAGTACTATTTATTGTTGGCAAGAAAAAATTTTGTGGCTTTTTAAAAACTTGATTTTAGGCTCTTCCGACTGAAAAGGTTGGCGAACCCTGCTGTAGAGTACTTAGTTACTATAGTGTCCAACCTATGTGATATTTAAATAGTTAGCAGTGCTAACAATGTATTCGATTGTTGAGACCCATATTATTTCATATATTGCGTTTGGAGGTTAGAATAGTAATAGATATGCATGAGGCATCTGCAGTATCTTAATTTACAAGTGAATACTGTCTCTTGGGCTTTATTGTTTAGCAAAGGAGATTTCAGTTGAATAATCAAATGAATGTATTGTACAACAACACAAATGGCAATGTAAGTTAATGTATGTTGTATTTTACAGATTTTAATGCATTGTATGGTAGTGTGCAGTGTGAGGTAATTGAAAAAAACTGGAATAGGTATTTAGATATTATTCTTTTAGCAAAGTAAATTATTTACCTACCTAAAATGTAATCTGCTCATGTCTTAAGTAATCATTCACAAGTTATTTGATTCAATCCTAGTGGAAATGTTATAAATTCCTAATGCATGTTTTCATTTAGTACACTGTATTTATAACAGTAGCATGTATGTGAAGAATACAATCAGAAACGCACAGACACAACGCATTATTACTATGAAACAATTTCAAAAGTTTGTAATTGAAATAGGGTGTGTGTATTTAAATATATTTAGTGAAAACTGCTTAGGCGACCACCTGCATTCGAAGGGCATGTGTCAAAACGGGCAAAATTTTCTTGCACGTAATAGTGTTACCCGTATTAAACGACCACCTGTGTAACGCGACCGCGGACATCGATTTTTGGTGTGAACCAACATACAACAAGTGTAATAAGCGACCACTTTCGCGAAAATATCTGGTTTAAACTTGTTCAACAAAGTTTCCCATCCAAATATAATGAATTAGTGTAAACTCTCGTTCGAACCCATCTCGGGCACTTCTCTAACCTTGAAATTACGTGCATGTGTTAATGAATTAGTGTAGCAAGAAAGGAAATTCATTTCAGTTTGTTGAAAATTTTCCGCTAAAGGAAAGAAATGCAAAGTGTTGTTGTTAGAAGATCGTATTAAAGTTATCATAATAGCAATTACAGGTGAAGTTTAACTGTGGAGAACGAAAATTATTTTACCGTATTCGTACAGTATATTCGTTGGGGGTATAAAATATTGTACAAGACTCAATTACTCGGCTGATCTCATCGTTTGATATGATGTATTTCCATTTATTTATTTAGTTAGAAGCTCATATAGCCTACAGTACATGTGCGATAAATAGTTTTTGTGTCAACCTACCTTATTTCCACGATATTTTTAGAAAAAGGAATATTCAAGTAACAGTCACACGGAAAATGTAAAAAAAAAACAATAAAAGCATTAATGCAAAAATCAGTTTTACATGCAATTTACCTTCTTCGATTCCGCAACGACAATCGCGGAAAGTAATGGAACAGTATAATGAGAACAAAGTAATGAAATCGATCGTTTTATAATTAATTATTTTCTTATGTAAAGTCCTTAAGAAAATATTTAAAAAAAAGTATTTTTAAAGTTAAAAAAAGATGAATGTTAGAAATACCAAAACTAATTTAATGTAAAAATACCACGCGCTTGTATATATATGACGTAATACACGTAACAGGAGCGAAGGAGAACAACCGAGTTGAATTAATTAATTCGGAAAAAAAAGTGTGCTTTATAATCGAGAAGATGCGAGTATTGTATTAAGAATTAAAACATTGGTATTAAATTAGTCTTATAAAATGACGACGACTCACGTAATTCGAGTTATCAGGTAAGAATGAAATACAATACTAATATAGCCTTATCGTACAAAAAATCCGCTTGTATTTGCTCACCTCGAGTTTTGCTTAGTAGAAATGGGTAAAAATTGCGCAAAATACATATGGAAATACGGTATTATAGCACTACCTGTCTAAAAGACCAAAATTTGAAGGAACCGTGGTTGGTCGTCATAGACAGGTTTAAATGTATTAGGAATAAAAAGTTTTTTCTCAGTTTAGGTAAATGGTTTATCTGTTTATTTCTAGTAATAATATACAGTTTAAAAAAGAAGTTTTAAAGAAAATTTGCAGAAAGGAATGTGTAGTAAGTTTAAGGAAACATTGATGAGCAAAATACTTTTATTATTCCAACATAGCATATGAAATGTTAAAAGTCTTTAATCCATACATTAAATGTTGTACTTTGTAATAGTAATAAAAAATTTAAGCTGTATTGATATCATTTCTATGATTTGAAAGTTATCTCATATAGTTTCAACAATTGTAAATGACTTAGGCTATATTTCTTGTCAAAGAAATAAAATAATATCATTGAAAATCATTTACCATTTAGAACAGAAATTTTTTCTTAGGGTAGATATACCAATGCCTAATGTGTCGACCTATGTATAGACCTACTTACTGTAAGAAGTTGTTATTATCTGTATGTAATGAATATTATATATATTTAAATATTGTATATGTATATATATTGTTGCTATTATTACCTATAAGTAGTAATTATTAGTTTGAGAATTATTTTGTCTTAATTTAATCATAAAATAATCATATGTGGTAATTTTTGTATTTCTTTTAGTACCATAAGTAATGAAACAAGTATAATGGAAAAAGATATTTACATAGACACGGAGTCAACACAGCTATCACCAGTAAGTTTTTCCCAGCTAACCTACAATGTTGTAGAAAATGTCCCAAATATTGATATTAATGAAGAAATTGAGTCTGACCAGTAAGTTGTAATTAAATAAAAAATCATTATTTTGATGAAAAAGAATAAGATGTTTAATGCATGGGTTTTGTTTCAGACTTTATCAAAGCAATGACTGCAGTACTTATGGTAGAGAAAAAGAAGAGGAAAAAAACCAGATACAGTTAATCAGGAATACTACAATAAAGCTTTATCATCTTTGTCATCAACGTCCAGTGGAATAAATAGTTTTTTGGATAGGAGGTGTAAGTTTATATTTATGAAAGTAGGCGAAATATAGTGCAAAAAATGACAGATTTAAAAGATATTTTTTCTAATTTTAGGTACTGTGTCACTGCCTGACAACATTGATCTGTTTTGTGAATCATAAAAATTAAGATTATAAAAAGTAGGATGCTGGGGATCAATTTAATGCGAAAAAAACATAGAATGATTAATGTTAGACCTTGAAGGTCAGGAGAAATATTTTACATAATGTAGCCTGTAAATAATAAAATAATTTTTAAAAGTTTATAAAAAATGTCTCTTTATTATTACAAATGAAAAAATTAATAGTTTCTACTGTATAATTACAAATACTGTAATAAGAAATACAAAATGAATTGTTGAAAACATTTTCTTATAATACACCTGGATATATCTTGCTATTGTGCCATGGTAGAGAAATTTCATTACACAAGTAAAAAGCTAGTTCATCACGCAAAGATTTAGCATGTATGCCATGCATATTAGATGCAAAAGAACAATGTGAAGAATTAATATTTTCATCTTTGCGCCATAAACCTGATTGAAAGTAAAAATTATCATCATATTCAGAGAAGCCAGGGGATTGTAAATACTTGCATTTTCTGTCAATAAAGAATTGTGTAAAACAAAGGCAGCAGCAAGTATTTGTTGTAATGTTTTCTCATAAAAATTAAGTGGTCTGAAAAAAATTGTAAAGCGCACCGACGGAATTCCAAAAGCATTTTCTACTATTCGAGCTCTACTAAGGGGATAGACACTTTTTGGGGATGAGTGTAAGTTTATCTCCTTGGATAAGGTGTCATTAAATGTTTATAAGAGGAAAAGCGTCATCTGTAACAAAGAAATATGGGAATAGTTTATTAGAATTTAATAATTTATTTACATTTGTAATAGTTAAATATTCTTGTAAAAGTTTTTTTGCAAAAGAAATTGTTAGGAAAATCCCACCATCACATTCACCACCCATGGAACAAAACTCGACTGAAATAAATTTGTATTCATTATCAGTCACAGCTAATAACATTTTGCTGAATGAACGTTTATAATTATAATTTAAGCTTCCATTGTTATTTGGGCATGGAGCTAGTATATGCTTGCCATCAATGCTCCCGCAACAATGTGGTAGCTGACAACGAGATGCAAAGCCTTTAGTAATAGCTTTACATTCGTTTTCATTATCTGGAATTTTCATATAATCATTCTTTAAATTGTTCCAAATAACCTGTAATGAAAATAATAGCAAATTAAAAGTTAATTGGTAATAAAATTTAATAAAAAATGAAATGTAGACTTTCGTAGTTTCTTCGATTATTTCAGCAATTGTAGATCGTCCTATAGTAAACGAGAAACTGAGGCTGCGAAATCTCTTACCCATAGCAAGAAATGTAAAAAATTATGTTATATGATTAAAGTAGACTGAAGACCTAACTAATTTTACAAAGTATGAAAGATTAACAAACCGTAATGTTACAGATAATCTGTCTGTAGCAGATATCGCATATCTCCATCGTGTATTTTTCTTAGTTATATTTATTTCAATTTTTGACTGCAAATAATGGAATAATTGTGGTGACATTCTCAGAAAAGTGTAGATTTACAAATTTAATGTTTAGATATCATGTGAAAAAACGATATTTAAAAAAAGTACAATTTATTTACTGTATACAGTATTGTCGATCGTTAAATTGTAGTTCCGGAATCAAAAAATTATTGAATCCATGTAAATCACGCTGTAGAAATATGTTTATAATTCACCAGCGTCTCATTAGGCGTTTTTTAAGAAAATCATTTCTTACAATCATCAAGGATTGAGTAGAATACAATCAGCAAAAAATAAGAACGTCTGATACCGACGGCGCCATTTTACTAAAGTATATATGACGTAGTTACATTTCCGTTTCCTAATAGGCCGGAATTTTTACGTATGTGTGTTATGGCATAAAAGCGTAAAACAAAAATTGAACTGAAAGCTGATTTATGATTCAGTTGTAAGCCACACAATTTTATGCATATGTGTTCCATGCCTTATGTTGCGCGCAGTAACCAGTAACTTAGATTTTAGGTAGCTGTATTGTTATATGTTGTAGGCCCCACCCCATTTTGTTGTCTGTAATCAGCGACACATTTGTTCGTGCATGAAATCCCGATTAGCTTTTGAATGTATTATGCCAGCTATCCTAGTATTTGTTTGCGTAGTATTTGTTCTCATTATAATTGAGTGTATTTCAAAGATACAATTGCGCGATGTACAGGTGGCATGGGAATTATATCATTTTTACAAGTTTCGTCAGCCCACCAGTTGCCGAGCGGTCTTCGTACTTTGAACAATGAGAGTTTGGTCGTGGGTTTGCATTTTCGTTCGGACGGGCAAGCCAAGAGGATTTAGTGCGGTTTTTTCGATGTCTGTAACGCCTACTTAGGCGTCAGTTGCCCTTACAAAAAAGAATCGCATGTTTCGTACCTAGCGCGATCTGTTGTTTTCATACGGTGTTTTTAACGTGTTTATGATAGCTTAAGTCATGCATTAGTTATTCAGTTAGATTTCAATGGCTTCCGCTCCCTTCGTAATCGCGTGATTCTGTAACACGGGATTTATATTATTGCGTTCTGTGCTTTTATTTTGTAGCTTCTTCCGTGCGTTAACTGTACGTAGCCACCTGTCAGCCCTGCGTTTTCGAAAATAATGTTTAGCGCCTCGAGCTGTATGGGTAGGCTTACTGATTTATTTGAACGTGGCAATGTTTGTGTTTTTTAAATTGTACTGTGTGTAAATGTGCAAACAGCGGTTATGTGAGGGCGCGAAATTTCTCGCGACGGGTATCAGTAAGTAGGTAAACCGTGTTTACCGGAATGAAAGAGATGGCGAACTTATAGTTTTGCGCCCACGCGTGTTTAGCCTGCGCGTCTCGACGTTTCTATGTGTGCTTGGCGGGCGCGAAATAGGGCGCGTACAACTCGTAATTCAGCGCCCCCCTTTCGCACTGTCGCCCTTCATTCATATACCCTAAACGTAATATATGAGACGTCGCCAACCAGCGTAACCATACCAACATACCTTCTTCACGCGTTTTACTTTTCCTACTGTAATATTCATGGCTTAAATTCCCGGCTACAATTTTTATAGAATATATTTATTTTTTCTGTTTCATATTATAGGGTATGTATACATTTCCATTAATTTGACATTAAAATACTGAACGTTTAAAAACTCACGAGTGAAATTATTAAATGTGACGATATTGCACATGCAGCGATCACAAGTTATTGTTAGTGAGACAAATGTACTTGTCGTTGGGCAGACGATATTTATCTCTCTGTAGCCACCTTTATTTTTTTCGCTGAAACTGACCTTATATACTGTATGCTCTACGGCGACCGGTGGTCGACCATTTAGTGTCGTTCCTCGCGTGTACTTCTACATCGGGTTAACGTATGCTTTCAAGTAAGTGAAGTAAGGATAGGTTGACGGATGTAGTAACTCAGACAACGATTGGGAGCGAAGTGCGAATGTAAAAAGGAGCATTATATTCGAGCATATTCCGGAAAATTGAATGAAAGAAATGAATAATGTAAAAAAATAAAGAAGGAAACATTTTTCCGAGAAAACTAAGAAAATCGAAACGAAAATGTTTAAATAAAAAAAAATTATTTTGATTGTAAAAATACATGAAACAAATGAAATATATATGTATTTTGTATTATATTGTAATAAGGAACAAATGTATTAGCTTATTATTCACCTATGTAGAACATAACCCTGTAGGTTACTGAAAAAATGGGTTTTTTTACGCAGGATCGATTTGCGCCTGCTTTTTTAGGAACATAACTGGGGCGTAAACCGAGGGCTTCCTGTATGTATATTTCACACCTTATGGGTTATGTAACCATACATGTAGAACATAAATAGATGATTAATAAAAAGATTATATTATTTCAAGTATATTTTTTGAAAAAACGGATGGAGACTCTTCGGGGTCTCCATCCGTTTCTTCTAACATAACGATCAATTCGAAATTGTCTGCACATATTACCGAAAAACGGCCCTTACTTCTCTCGTAATTCTAAAACCCTGTGAACGACGACTTCTATAAATATCTTTCTGTTAACAAGACCAATTATTAAATAATCCACAAACACGGCAAAGCAGGAAAAAGAAATGTGGCGAATTGCAGAAG